CAATGCTTATATGCACTGCTGTAGGATACATTTAATAACTGAGAGAAAACAAAACCGCTTCGGCCAAAACGCACATCATACCGCTGCATGTGTCACAACCTAGCAAAACCGCTCCGTGTGTCAGCGCCCTAAAATAATAAGCGTTGTCTCACGCCTGAACCTTTGCGACCACCGACGACCGCTATCGCTATGGGTATAAGGATTTTGCAAGAACTAGATCATTTAACAGAAAAGCAAATTTTGTCGGGAGTAGCAGTCAGATATGGTATCGAGTCGTACGATAACTTTGCTTGATAAGTAAAGTAAAAGTAACGTAATTCCTACCGTACAGCAGGGTTGTTATTCGTTCAATCACCCTTTATTAGTCGGTGTCGCGCCCTCGTTTCCGTCAACCCATTCTCAATTAAAAAACAATGGGCTGTGCCGAGATTCGAACCCAAAACAACAAGCATGGCAATACGAGTTGCCCTAACCTCTTGATCACCTCGGTCCTCTTCGTACACATTTCTTATATTTTGATTATTATAAATGTTTTGAATATGATTATTGAGTATGTTTTTATGAAGCGAATCCGATGCGAAGCTATCACGATCGATTTTTAAAAATATATTATCTTAGCTGATAATCTTCACATAGTCAATACGACAAATATATTCATATAAAGGACAATATATATATATATATATATATATATATATATATATAAATTATACCCCAAAAAGGTATTAAATCGTTTGTAAATTGAAAATAAATTAAAGGTTAACCGTATGATGACGGTGAAATAGAGAAAAGATTCTGGGAAACAAAATCACGGAAATTGAGCAGATCAGGATGATCAGAAATGCCCAGATTAAAGATTCACACCGCAGACTCAATGAAAGCTCAAAGTAAATAAAAATCTACATTCCGACATTTTCGTTTTAGTTATTTGCTTTTACTATCAAATATAGAAGTAAAATCACTTAATACAATTATCGATAGCATATAATAACGTATTAAACTTTGAGGAATCTAACAAAAAAATTTTTCCGTGCAATGGGTGTAAGGTTTAAAGAAAGGAATAAAAAATATGCCTTTCTTTATATATTGTATATTCTTGGAAGTGAACAGAATTTAATAATTTAAATAAAAATATAGTAAAAGCGCACATTTTACCTTGCTGGGTCAAAACTTTCCGTCAAAGCCCTTAGTTCAATTAATGTTGAACTATTAAATCCTCAAAACTCAACTTAGGTTAAAAACGCACCGATTTAAATTTAAATTTGGCTCATTTTTATCTTACCCCCTTTCTTAGCTGTTAATTATTAAAATTAATTTTTAATTACTTTATCAATTATTCGGAATGAAAAAACGATGGCGTCACATCTCACTGAGCTTGATATATCGTCTTTGGCTTATTTTCAGCTTTGCTGATTCGCATATACAACGTGAATCGTCAAACTGTTATCGTACATAAAGCTTCATTGGTTAACGCGTCGATTTGCTTATCAGACAATTTCTTGTTTTCTTGATCTTCTCATCACAGAAAAAAATCAACAACTGATTTATAAGTGTATCTAAATGATTAATGCTATAATATAATTTCTAACTACAATGTGCATTAAAATAATCAATCTAAACTGCTCAAAAATGAATACGGACATTGCCAATTTTGTAGAATTTACTTTCCGTAGCATTTTTTGTTTTATTTTTATTGTGTGTGATTAGTGACCGTTAATCGATGATTATTCAAAGATCGTGAGATGCGGTCTGGTGTGATGTAGGTTTCAGAAAAACATTTTCTTTATCGTGCCAACGTTTCGATCTTTATTGAGATCATCTTCAGGGCCTGGGATTTACAAACATTGTTTAAATTTAACAAATACATGTAGGATGTGGAAAAAAGTGAATTTATACAATGCAAAGACAAAATATTTTTTATATTCAATCAAAGTATTCCTATTCACTCAAAGGTTTGTTTTCTGTGTAGATGTATCATGCTTGTGTGTCGTGTTGAGAGTGCCAGTGTGATGTTGGATTTTGAAGGGGTGGGAAGGAAGTCGTTATAGAAAAACATACATTTTTGTATAAGGCGTCGGCTTCTTTGAAGTGAAAAGAGCCGTCGAAGGGAAATTTATTTTTATTACCAATTATATTAGAATTTATTAGAAATTATTATGTTTTTACTGAAGGAAAATTTAATTAACGGATTTTGAATATTAACAAAATAAAAGGTTTTAATTCCATAAATTTTGGATTCTTATAAAAGAAGCATATTACGAAAGGATGTTTTTGACGTTTCCGATCGTTTTTACTTATGTTAAGTTTAATAATAAAAGTTTTGACAATTATATTATATAAAGAATGAATAATTTTTTGATTTTGTTAAAATTCACATAAGGTTCTAAAACAAAAGTTTAGAAGTTCGGCTTCTATAAAATAGATTAAACCTGTTAAACGTCCTTTTATTAGATTGAATATTGATCGGATTAAAACCCCGTTTTAATCTGGTTAACAAATTAAATATTTATCTCAATCCGTAATACAACGGCATTCCTGTCCCTGATATCTGGGCATCTGATGCGTCATGTTTAACAATCTTACGAGATTGAATGAACACCACTATATAATAATTATTCATAAAATTTAAATCCAATTTAATAAAGCTCTTCATTACGGGGATTAAAGGAAATTAAATAAGAAAAGTCATGGCTTGTGAATTGATGGATGAGATTAGTAAAACTGCTCTAAGCTACCCGCAAAGCGGGTAGGTTGTGCGGAATGGTTTCGCGCTTCGCCGTCCTATTCAGTGTATCATTTTTTAAACGTTTCGATTACTGCTTTACAAATGATTTTTCTAAAGGCAAATCTCCCAACATAACATTCATGAATTTGGTCGTTTCCATTCATCCTGGTATCTGTCTTCTTTATTACGTCTACCAGAGACGATAATGATAAGATAATCTCGACAATAAGAAAAATGTGCTGTTAGATTAACGGTTCTTCCTTCTGCATATCTAATCTAAGCGAGTTCGGTGAGAATTGAAGGAAACGACCAAAACACAAGTTTAACACCCTGCAGACCTCAATATGAAATCTCAATATATAATTTTGGCAATTTTTTGGCCATAATTAAAAAAATAGGTCTTCGGTATTTCTACGAACCAAAAATGATTTAACTATTTATCTCTTACACTTCATATTATGTATTCAAATAAATTTTTCTATATTTTTAAATAAATTAATCCATATTTGTTTAGTGGTCATAATTGACCATATTCGGTTAGAATTTAAGGAAACGACCAAAACACAAGTTTAAAACCCTGCAGACCTCAATATGAAATCTCAATATATAATTTTGGCCATTTTTTGGCCATAATTAAAAAAATAGGTTTTCGGTATTTCTACGAACCAAAAATGATTTAACTATGTATCTTTTACACTTCATATTATGTATTCAAATACAATTTTCTATATTTTTAAATAAATTAATCCATATTTGTTTAGTGGTCATAATTGACCATATTCGGTGAGAATTGAAGGAAACGACCAAAACACAAGTTTAACACCCTGCAGACCTCAATATGAAATCTCAATACATAATTTGGCAATTTTTTGGCCATAATTATAAAAATAGGTTTTCGGTATTTCTACGAACCAAAAATGATTTATCTATTTATCTCTATCAGTTCATATTATTTATTCAAATAAAATTTTCTATATTTATAAATAAATTAATCCATATTTGTTTAGTGGTCATAATTGACCATATTCGGTGAGAATTGAAGGAAACGACCAAAACACAAGTTTAACACCCTGCACACCTCAATCTGAAATATCAATACATAATTTTGGCAATTTTTTGGCCATAATTAAAAAAATAGGTCTTCGGTATTTCTACGAACCAAAAATGATTTAACTATTTATCTCTTACATTTCATAATATGTATTCAAATAAATTTTTCTATATTTTTAAATAAATTAATCCATATTTGTTTAGTGGTCATGATTGACCATATTCGGTTAGAATTTAAGGAAACGACCACAACACAAGTTTAACACCCTGCGGACCTCAATATGAAATCTCAATACATAATTTTGGCAATTTTTTGGCCATAATTATAAAAATAGATTTTCGGTATTTCTACGAACCAAAAATGATTTAACTATGTATCTCTTACACTTCATATTATGTATTCAAATACAATTTTCTATATTTTTAAATAAATTAATCCATATTTGTTTAGTGGTCATGATTGATCATATTAATTATCCCCGAAATTAAATTCTTAACTAATAATTTTGTGGTGTATCGGGTATATATGTAGAACTATCAGAGGAGCTATCTTGTGTTGGACTTGTGTGGACTCAATGTGTACACTAAAGCCTGGATATGAATCTTGTTTATTGAAATTTCCATGTATAAAGTGCGATGCGGTAATTTTCTGTATGGGCCTACTATATTTTTTGGGAGTTTCCGCCTGTTTCATTTTTTTCTCTAGAGGTATTTGGCTCTTGAAAGCGATTTAAAATTGTATGAATAATTTGTTCAGGTATATTTGATTCTTTTAATGCCATATGCAAATCGGTGATGTGCTTGTCTTTTCTTATTTGAGGGGACAAGTTCGAGCTGTAAGGAAATGAAAGAGAATTTAGTTTTGCTGGATTTTCAGCTTTTTGTTGTGCTGAACCTGATATATTAGCAATGAAATTTTCCATTTTTTTCCGTTTTTAACTGCGGCCAAAATTTAGTCATATGGTTAATTAATTCCGCAAGTAGATCTGCGTTATATTCTACAAAAAATTTCGTTAAGAATATATACTTTCAAATCTTGTCTGATTTATTTCCAGTTCTGCAACAATGTTTGTTACCCCTATTATATTTCCTGGTCCGGTTCAATTAATTAATCTTTATGTAAGGTATTATTGAAATGAAAAAGTGAATGAATTGAAAAAAGGTAAAAAAGAGGGAAAATTCAAATGTAGGTTGAGATGGGGAGTTGGTGTCTGAGTGGATCGAAGTCACGATAGCTCAAATGGTAGAGCAGCGTCGTTTTTACCCGAAGGTCGTGGGTTCGAATCCCGCTCGTGACACTAAAATTTTTATTTCAACATTGGTATGTAAGGTATTGACCTTACATTAAAATTAATTAATTGAAAGTATATCCTCTACATTATTACGTTTCTTCCCCATCGGCTACAATGAGTTGATCGTCAGCTACTACTATTTACTTTTTTTCCTGTTATGCATAAAAAGGAAAATTCTGCCACTACTCTTTTGTTTTATAAACCCTCAAAATATATATTATTTTTATTAGTAGGGAGTTCAGGCCTGGTCAAGTTTTTTTCTGTAAACGCACTATTGTAGGCTTATGTACACAACAATTTTTTGTAGCTTGGTGGTTTGTGTCAGACGCGGGTGGCATTGGTAAGTTTCTATGACGCAACAAACTTAGAAAACGGGCATGCTAGTCAGAATAACCCAAGACAAACTACTGAAGAAGGCAAAGTGCCGAAACGTGTCTGACTACTAAGAAAACAATTAATTCTACACCGAAGTGAGCTTTCTATACCTCAATAAATCCAAATTTCAACAAGAAACCTTGGTTCCATGAACTGGCCTGGTCAATACAGTACTGCTCTATGATAAGCCGACTTAGATCCGGTCATGGCATTTGTGGGGTGTATCTTTATAAAATACAAACGGACGAAGTTATGTGGACCATGAAAGAGAATTGGGATGCAGAGGAAGATGTAGAAGACCTCATTATGAACTGCAAAAAATATTCGAAAGAGAAAATTATTTAGTTTGGCAGATTATACGCAAAGAAGTACATTGACAAACAAATAAATTACAAATCCCTACTTTTGCAAAATTATGACCAGATATACCGTATCATGATAGAATTTCTACATAGCTGTGGGATAACCCAAAATTTATGTATATATAATTGAATTGTGTATTTAATTTTTAATTTATGATTTAATTTGGGTGTAAATTAAAAGAAGAAAAAATAACTTTATTCTGGGACTGGTGTTCCCTAAGAATGATATACATGAAATAAATAAAGGAAGTTCCATCTATGAAATTAAATGTAAAATGAGATACAAATCTTGGCACAATGTATACCAGTAAGGCAGGTCAGAAGAAAAAATTACAAGAATATTAAACAAAAATATCAAATGTTAACGGTCTCTGCTTGGAGGGAGAGAGGTGATTATACAGGTGGGATTTAAAGGAGGAAATGGAGGCAGACGAATAGAAATGGGATTGGAGTTCCAGAGTTTAGGGGTTCGGATCAGAAAGGATCTTTCGAAGGTATGGGTTGTATGTTGCGGAAGGATAAGGTAGATTGGGGATGAGCGGGTGTTACGAGTGTGATGTGAGGATTTGAATTGGAGGGATTGGGTGATGTAAGGAGGACGACGAGTGTGGATGGATTGGAAAAGAAAGCAAACTAGGAAATACAGTGCACGGAAGGAGGGATATAGCCAGGAAAGTTGGGAATACAACCCCGACTCCCGGGTCTCCCGTGGGATGCCGAACACGAATCTTATGCAATAACGCCCCCTCCGAGAGACCACCGAATGCCACATGCTATAATCGAAGAAGGGAAGTATAAGGGAAGATTCAAGGAGTTTGCGGGTGGAGAAATGTAAAAGAATCCAGGACCCTCAGGAAACAGGCTGAGGGTGGCAATGCAATGGCGGGAAATTTCGGAAATGTGACGATGCCAGGAAAGGTTTGGTCAAAGACTTCTCTTAAGTTTTTAACCGAGGGGCAGAAGAGAATGGGATGGTTATTTAGCATGAGAGGCGGGATGCTGGGGAGGGAATTGAGGGGCTGCCTGGACCAAATAATTATGGCGGTGGATTTGGACGGATTGAGGACTAGGGAATTCTTATGCTGGAGTTTAAGTCCTTTTGGATCTTGAGAATGGCCGACTGAAGATCGGAAGGGTGGAAGGATATGTAAATTTGGGAGTCATCGGCCTGTGATAGTTACAGGACTGGATGGAGTCGGGCAGGTCGTTGATATAAATGGAAAAAGGGGGACCGCGGTAGCCGAGTGGTTAGCATGAGAGACTCTCACGCCGCGGTCGTGGGTTCGATTCCCACCGTCGCCTCTGGCCCTTTTTTCCCGATTACCCCCAATTTGAACACAAAAATTCGTACCATGGCTAATATGCAAGATCATAAGGCCAANCCTGTATATATAAATGGAAAAAAATAAATTATTTATTAAACTATGTTTATTTATTTAATTATTTATTCTATTTAAATGTATTCATTAATCTATTTATCTTACTCTCAATACTAATGAGGGAACGTACTGAATGTAATCCGGCTAATGTGGAAACGCAAGGTCAAAAAAACTAGGAAAACAAAAATAAGTGAACAATAAGAACAGAAACTACCTAAACTATTTTACAGTAAAGAGGATAAATTCCATCTTTTTCGGTCATCAATTCTATGGTTACCTGATTTGTCAAACTTGATGAGTCCTTCAGTCTTATTTATGCAAATTTAATCCGTTTATACTGTTTGTAGGTTGTTTTTTATATGCCAACATCAGCAAGCAGAATAACTAATCATTTTACACTAAGAAGATTGTGATATTTTTACTTAATTTATATTTTTTCAACAACGATCGGTATTTTTTGGTAGTCAAAATAAAAAGAACCTCTCATGTCCAAATCGAGTACAATCTAATTATCACCGGAGGTCGGTTGTTGGTTGGTTATTTTTAAACTAGAATGGATTATTGGAAAGCACCCACGTCACAAGTGATTAGAACAAGATTTTGAGGTTTGGTGTCGCTTATTTAATGAAAAAAAGTGAAACGCGACTGATAGACAAAGCCAGTGAGGATAGGCGGACATAATTGATCTGGAACACCGAGTTGGTTATCCAGAAGATCTCAAAAGGAAATCTAATGACAGATTTTGTAAATATTTTTTGCCACGGATTTGGTCGGATTAACTTTTCAAACCAATCTTCCTTTTGAAATGCCAATTAATGTTCCAGTTTTTGTAGGAAAAAATTTGCCTTATCGATTTAAAAAAGGGATGGGCAAAAAATTAATTGTGCGTCCCGCCCTTCTATTGTAGGGTTTCGATTCAAAGGTCCGTCGTTTCGGCTGTAAAAGAGCGTCGGCCAATTCAGCGCCGGCATAAATAGAAAAGTGTGCCCAGCCCTTCTTTGCTTTATTCAGTTGTCCTGTTGATTGAGGTCGTGGTCCCGTCCTTGGGGGTTGCAGAAAAAGGGGTGGAGCCCTTTCATTATTAAGCCGCTTTCGCGGAACATAAAGTCGAAAGGTAGGATTAGCCATGGCTAACCCACTGAACTCACCATTGTTTTTGGCCATTATTTAAACGTTTTGTTCTGCAATATGTCTACTACTGATGCCATTTACGGTCAGAACTTAAAACGAATTTTTCGGAAAAATAATTGTTTATTGAACTATAAATTTATTGATATTTCTCCATTGGGTTTTTGAGATTATAAGACTGTATGTTGGTCGTTTCTGATCATGTAGGTCTACCAAGTAAAGCGAAACGTGACATACCAAACTTGCGAGTTCTTCCTAGGTTAGTTATGCTGCATGATTACCGGGTAATAGAGGATTATCAAGTACTCCACCACCTTACTTGAGTAGATTCTACTCATTTGTGTATAGTGAGATTGAATTTATTTATTAGAACACATTGAACATGGCAAAAGGAGAGCAGGTTGTAGGTTGAGATGGAGAGTTGGTGTCCGAGAGGATCGGAGTCACAAAAGGTCGTGGTAGAGCAAGGTGCCAAAGGTCGTGTGTTCGAATCCCGCTCGTGACACTGACTTTTTTTATAACAAACAAGACCTTACGTGGAAAGAATAATTAATTGAAAGATGTAACTTGTTCAATTGACCACACAACGTAAATCAATTTTTATTTATTAGCTTGAATGGTTGGGTTGGTCGATAGTGAAAACATCAAATCGACCCCAAATTAGGTTATTTGTGCAGTATGTCTAAAGGAAGATACATAATTAATGTAATCTACAACCTTATTTTGGTACATGCTACTTCTTTGTGCATAGAGAGGGTGAATGTATTTATTAGCGTAAATGTTTGAGCGAGTCGCTGGCTGAATAGAAAATTCTTCTTCCCTCAATTAGGTGAGCTATGCGACATGATGTAGGAATTTCGAGTATTTCACTACCCTACTTGGTTAGGGATAGTTAAGAATGAGATCAGCAGCACACGTGTCTGCATAGACATGGGAGGGTCTAAAACCAGGTGTACGACGAGATAGCACAGCGACTTCGGTTCCAATCCCAGTAGCGTGCTATGTGGGAATAGATCCGTCGTTCGTAGGTGAGACTCTCCTGGCGGGTATTTAGAGAACGGGCTGTTGTTCGGTGGTGCCCGCATGGGCGTCCTTTACCGAAGGTAGTCGCTTATACGGAGTGGTTAGAAATTCCATTCAAATCGAAGCTGATCCGGTAGTTTAGATGCTGGCGAAGCCCCTACACTCAAGGAGATGGAGTTATCGTCTCTAACTAAGGAGCGCGTTGGAAGACCGACTGTTGCATTTCAGCCCTTTTGGGTATCTCTTTACGGGCGGCACACGGTTAAGTGTACAATCGACCCACGGGGCAAGCGAGAGATGTCAGAAAGTCAGCATGTCTGTTTGATTAGTCTGTCGATATGGTGGCTTGTACACCGAACCTCACAGTGTTCCCACTATCTTTCCCACTAATAATAAAAAAGAATATATTTAAGATGTGTTTGTGTCAAGGTTCAAAACCTATTGCGTTGAGAGCTGAAATCAACTAGCTGTTGGCAGGCTCTAGATCGTGACAGATTTTCGAAGGTCTGACCCCGAACTTCCAAAAAGAGAAGAGAATCGTGAAATTTCATAACCTCAATTCGATATATATATATGTGTGTGTGTGTGTGTGTGTGTGTGTGTGTGTGTGTGTGTGTGTGTTTGTTTGTATATACACACGTGTGCGGAGTCGAGCTTATATTTATCATTCACTATATTCCTAGGGGAGTTCTATTTGCAGTATAGCATATTCAATCTTATATGTTAAAAATGCAACATT